GAGGAGGCCAAGAACACAGTACAACCAAAGGATCCATGACAAAACTGGCCCGGCAACCTGTTTCCTACTCCCTTCCCAGAGGAAACAACTCAGGCTCTCGTAACCACAAATGACTCAGCCTCTGGAGCAAAATGGCTGGCAACGCCACCAAACGGAGGCCCACGCCAATTCTTTTTTTTCGCCTCGCAGGGCGTTCCGAGCCCCAGACAAAAATGCTTCGTAAGTAATGGTGATTTAAGGGAGGGAATCCAGAATGAGTTAGAATAGCAAACACAGCTGGAGGCAATTACTTCCGTCCAGACAGACACAACTCAGGCTCTCGTAACCACAAATGACTATGTACCCTTCCCCAGGTCCCCGATCAAGATCCACACCCTCCTCACCTTCCCCGCACCATACCCCCACTCACCCTCCCTTCTGCCCCGCTTCCCACCCCTCCCCCTCCCCCCACTACCCCCGACCCCCCCCCGCCCCCCCCCCCCCCCCCCCCCCAGTGTCCTAACCTCCTGCACCTCCCTCCCTCCCGACTGAACCAGCACGTTTGAACCCTCGACACCCAGCACACTTGAAAATTGGATACCCGGCCCTCAAACTGATCACCACTCACCTGTACGCTTTTTCTCGAACGAGCACCGACTATCCCCAGGCTGGCCGACTGAGCATAGCACTATAGTAAAGCACCATCAGACTGACAGCTAAGTGCAGGGACAGCAACATGGGTCGAGTGTCTGACAATAGATGGCAGGCAGTAGACTGAGTGCCGTGGCGATAGGAGTAGCCTGCTGAAGTTTCTGTGGTGGGATTCCAGGGTTTGATAGGGGGAAAAAAGTCAATCTTTTGGTCCAATAGCAATCGGTATCTTCCACCCTATCGGATTTTAGTGTTATCGGTTATCGCAACTTATAGGTGTGGCAGGAACTCGAAGTAATCATATGAAGGGACACTGGGCCTGTTTCGCAGCATGTGTTGCTCTCCATGACAGGAGCTGCCAGACGGATGACCTCCTCACTAAGCTTCGGCTCATAACCCTTGCCTGATACGGGATCCATCTCTGGCGTTGACTTAACCGACCACTGCCTTGGAGCCTGTGTTTGCCAACCCTGAATAAATATGCGTCCCGATCTTTGCCGATCCTGCCGTGGGGGCAGTACAGTTTTGATTTTTGCCGATTTGTTATTCGTGGTCAGATACATTGCATAAAGTACAAGAGTGAGTATGGCCTCGGCAAGGACCTTTCCCGACAACATCGGTCTCGATGTCATTTGCTTTTTGTTTCCCTTTCGGTAGGACAGGCGGTTCCACAGGGCCCAAATATTTTCAGACCCTGCGCCGGACCCCTGAAGAATGCGGTATACGTTATATTCCCAAATGGGATTACAGCTTGGAACGGTAGAGGTGGTCTCTCCGAACGTAGTCAGGGTTGTGGCCCAGGCTATATTCGGCTATAGCAATCAGATGCCCCTATTTGAAGGGGCATAAAGGTTGCGCCACCACTCGCATGATTGACGCGGAGCTCCTGAACAGACGTTCGAACTGCCAATCCCCCACCTGGGAAACACCCCCAGAGGCAACAACAGATACAGGACGCACCCCCATGACAGACCACAAGAAAATGGGACAAATCCCCGAGGAGACAATGAAGGGGGGGGGGGGGGGGGGGGGGGGGGAAGCAGCAAACTGGCACTGATGGCTTGGCACACCCGCCCTGGATGCACCGCTGAGGAGAACCAAAACATGGAACACACCTCCAGAGGAGAGCAAAACAACGGACATACCCCTAGAGCAGAAAACAAAAGCGCCATTGAAACAAAAAAAACTCTGGATGCACCGCTAGAGGAGAAAATAAAAGCAGGTGACAGATCAGAGGAGACAGAAAATGCAAGACATACCCTGAGAGCGGCGGTGAGAGCAGCCACTGAAAACACGGGACACACCCCCAGAGCGACAGGTGGGGACCCCACTTTTCTGGTCTGGGTGTGCCACCCCACTTTCCACCCCACTTTTTTGGTCGGGGCATGTGCCACGGAGGCCCGGTACATGCCCTTTTTCCACCCCACTTCTCTAGCCCGGCTGGCTTCCTACAGCTGCATCAGCAGAGCTATCCTGGGTGGGTGGGCCGGCAGCGGAAATGGGGCTGTGAGCTGGGTGGGGTGACCACAGTAGGCAACCAGGGGCCAAGTCCCACTACCAGTAGCATCGTTGAGTTTCCTCAACGCCTGAATCTGGACGAGTGTATGGAAAGGTGCGGTTGAGGAAACTCGATGGGATCTTCTGCACATCTCCACAAACATGTCAAGATTCAGGCACTGAGGAAACTCACCGCTATTAGTGGGACCTGGGCCCAGGAGGACGCATAGACAAAAAAAATGTGAGTTGGTTTGGCCAAAAATAAAAACAGACCGGATCACGCTGTATGCCGTATTCAGAAAGATAGTACTGTTAAACAATGTGGCCCCACTTTTTGAAATCGTGAAACTGTGCTACGAAACAAAAACACACTAAGAAAATGCTCAATTGCGAATTGCCAATCAGCACCGTCAGCGGGCGGCAAGCAACTTGTTTCAGCATCTGGAATTTAGAAAAGGAATGTGAATCTGAAGGGGTTGCAGAAGGGAAGAGAGAACAGAAGGGGAACCTTTCTCCTGGACAGTGCCGGCGACGAACGATATGATGGCCCCCAGCAGCGAGGCAGTAGATTCTTCCAATCCATGGCTCAGAAGGTTAGGATGCATGTTTTCCTCCTCTCTGTGCGAAACTGTTGGTACAAGGGTGGGAAGCTGTTCTGAAGGGTCATTTTGCAATCAGCTCACCTCGATTGGCAAGAAAGTCAGCCCAGCATCCATTACTAGCACGTACGTTTAGGACCCTCTGGGGAGTTGATCAGTCATGGTATCAAAGATCGCTTTTTTATAACTAAGCCTACTAAGCTGTACAATTCTCTCAATTTCACCCTTGTTTTTTTTTTTAACTAAGCTATATTCATCTCTCAATTTCACCTTGGGAAAATTTTCGAAATGCCCCCAAAGTTTGCGTTTATTTGCGGCGTGCCCCTGTGAAGGCCGACTTACCCTGTGGCGCCCCCCTCGGGCCTCTGAAATTTTCCGCAGGCCCCTGTGACCCTGTCAGCATGGGACGTAACTTTCTGATATGCCCTTACTGGACCGCTGGTGGCGTTTCGTCGGTCCGTCCTTGAAATGCCCTCACGAGGGGCACACATCTTTCTGCGATGCCCTTGCAGCAGTGGCGGCAGGAATTCGAATTCGAAGTGGTAGGGATGTCATGCGCCGCCACGGAAAAACGGTGCAGCAGTGAGTCTTCGAGTTCGCCGCGTGGGTGATCGATGTGTTGGAGTGCATACGGCTACCGTGCGAAGCGGAGCGTGCGCGTGTGTGTGTCCATGCTCATCGCCCTCCTCCCTCCTCCTCCGTCCTCATCGCCCTCCTCTCTTCTCGTCCAGCCTCCATCCTCTATCCTCGTCCGTCATCGTCAGAGTCCTTGTCCTCCCAACTTCTCTTCCCGTCCTCTTCCCTCGTTCCTCCCTCCTCCAACTTTCTCCTCGTCACCCCTCCCTCTCCTCCTCCTCGATTGTCGATCTCATAACCATCACCATGACCGTCTTCTTGGAGTACTCTCCCATGCACGCGCGCGCGTCTGCATATGTGTGTGTGTTGTGTGTGTGTGTGTGTGTGTGTGTGTGTGTGTGTTGTGTGTGTGTGTGTG